TTTTTTTTTTTTTTTTTTTTTTTTTTTTTTTTTTTTCACACGCCTGCATTTCAGGATAGTGATGTGAAGTGGGCTTCTAGATGGGACGCTTATCTCTTGATGAACGACGATCAAATTCACTGGTTTTCAATTGTCAATTCGTTGATGATTGTCCTCTTCCTCTCGGGTATGGTTGCCATGATAATGCTTCGGACACTCTACCGTGATATTTCCAAGTACAATGAACTTGAGACCCAGGAAGAAGCCCAAGAAGAAACAGGATGGAAGCTTGTTCACGGGGATGTTTTCAGGCCGCCGCAAAACTCTAATCTGCTCTGCGTTTACGTCGGAACTGGAGTCCAATTTTTTGGGATGATTCTTGTGACCATGATCTTTGCTGTTCTCGGATTCCTTTCCCCATCAAACCGAGGTGGTCTTATGACAGCCATGCTTCTGCTTTGGGTCTTCATGGGTCTTTTCGCTGGTTACTCCTCTGCCCGTTTATACAAAATGTTCAAAGGATCAGAATGGAAGAAGATTGCGCTCAGAACCGCCGTTATGTTCCCAGCTATTGTGTCTGCGATTTTCTTCGTCTTAAACGCACTCATCTGGGGCCAGAAATCATCCGGGGCTGTGCCGTTTGGAACCATGTTTGCCCTCATCGTCTTGTGGTTCGGAATCTCAGTCCCACTCGTGTTCGTTGGCAGCTATGTAGGATTCAAGAAACCAGCAATTGAAGACCCTGTGAAGACCAACAAGATCCCAAGGCAGATCCCTGAACAGGCCTGGTACATGAACCCGGTTTTCTCAATTCTCATCGGAGGAATCCTCCCCTTTGGAGCCGTCTTCATCGAGCTTTTCTTCATCCTCACCTCAATCTGGCTGAACCAATTCTACTACATTTTCGGTTTCCTCTTCTTGGTCTTCATCATCCTCATCGTCACTTGCGCGGAGATAACCATTGTGCTCTGCTACTTCCAGTTGTGCAGCGAGGACTATCTCTGGTGGTGGAGGTCATATCTCACATCAGGCTCATCTGCTCTATACCTTTTCCTCTATGCTACCTTTTACTTCTTCACAAAGCTTGAAATCACAAAGCTTGTGTCTGGCCTACTATACTTCGGATACATGTTGATTGTTTCATACGCATTCTTTGTGCTCACCGGTACCATCGGTTTCTATGCATGCTTCTGGTTCACAAGGCTCATTTACTCCTCGGTGAAGATTGATTGAAGTGTTTGTGCCGGTTATATATCTCTCCGTTTTGGCAGAATGCGAAACAGTGTCTTAGTGTAAGATTTGAAAATTAAGGTATGGTTTTGTCTTTTCCCACATTTAACATCTTGTATTCAATTTTGAACGGTGACAAGGTCATAACTCTGTTATACTACTGTATTCGCTCAAATTTTCTAGAACTATTCCATTTTAATCCCCATCAATGATGTTTGTAGTTTACAATCATATTCCAGTATCCAATCATTGGCAACTCGTGCCAATATATAGGAGAATGCTCAGAAGCTTCGATTTCTCATCTTTGAAAATAGAAATGAGCATATATGAGCATGTAACATTAAGAGACGCAAATGAAAACTATTATTGACCGAGTGATTCGGTTATATACTGTGTTTATCTCTACTTTTTCTCGTTGTTCTAGTAGGGAAGAGATTGCTAAACCAAAACACACAATTTCGCACTCAACATCACCTTTACCAAAAAAAGAGAAACTAGCTAAGCAAACAAGAAACGACGGAGAGCCAGACTACTTCCTTGGGCGAGTCTCCTCTGGATGGGCTGTTCCAGTAGTGACCTTTGCGACATCTTTGGCGCTGGCTTCAGGTTTCTTGGTGGAGTAAGCGACGAAATACGCAACGGCGCCGACAATGACGAGGCCGGCGGCGATGGCCATGGTGGTGGGACTGTAGGGAAGCTTGCGCCTCTGATGAAGAACTTCCCCGGGGTTTTGGCCTGGGGGCCTCTTAGACTGCTCGGCTCCAGCTGCTTTCACTTCTTCTGGACTCATTTTGTGGGTGTCTGCCGTATTTCCTCCAATCTCTCTATCTTTTATCTATTTTTTATTACAAATTGCCTCTCACATCTGAAACTTGTCACTGTCGTGTGTGTGCGAGTTTGAAGCGGAAGTGAATTGTTGCCACGTTTGGAGGTGGTAGGACTTGAAAACTCGCAGTTATTTGACACGTTGTTGAATGTTGCATGTAAAGCGCAGCAGGACAAGTGTGTCGTTTGGATGAGAGATGTGTGGTGGACTGTGGGGGTGAAAGTGTGATTTAGGTCCGTTCTCCAACTCTGTACCAAGCCCAATCCATTGCTCATTGATTTCGCATGGGCTAATGGACGCTACTGGAGGGGCATTTCGATCTCTATCGAACTTATGCGGAATTCCAGGAAATTTAAAGCAACATTTTTTTTTTTTGAAAGTAAATGCTTGTTCAAGAATTATTCTATATTGGCCGAAAGAACTAAGAAGGATTAACTGTGTCCCGTTTGGTTGTTAGTTTAAATTTTATTGGTGTGAATTTTTAAATATGAAAAGAAAAATTCAAACTGTGATTTAAATTATAATTTGAATTGACGTTTAGTGTAGAACAGAAAGTTTGGTAGGTGTGAAAGACAGAGAAAGTGAGCATTTTTTACCGTTCAAAAATGATTTGAACAATTGAACTTGAGAAGACTAAACTTTAAATTAAGCTGTTTAATTCAGTTAAAATAAGAAATATAATTTAAACATCATACTTATTCAACGTAAGTCACTATTCAAATTGAGTTCACTATGTCAGTTTAAACTGCGTTCACTATTCAAATTGAGTTCACTACGTCAATTTAAATTTTGCTCACTATTCAAATTGAATTGAATTGAACTAAATTAGTGAAACAAAAGGGCTATAAGTGTTCTTTTATTTATTTATTTATTTTATTGAAGCATGAGTCTATATTATGTATTGTCGTAGTCACTGATGATACTATTATTTCGTCCCAGAATTTTTTTTTTCAAGACCCTAACCCTATAAAAAAAACTATCCTATTTTTAGAAGCCATTTCTTTCATTTTTCCCTATTAACACTAGCTGGAGATAATATTTTAGTTTTACCTTCGAATTATGTTAATTGTTCCATTTTAACCCCAAAACTTTAAAACGTTATAGATTAAACACTAAACAATGTTTGTGGTCTCATATTTGGCCCTTCGGTCATAAAAATTATTAAAACTTCAACGGAATCAACTATTTTACCTCACAATATTAGTTAATGATGGACTTTAACAAACCATGCCTAAATAAATTTAAAAATTAACAAAAATAAAATAAAACAAAGAAAAAACTGTGCTATCTTTTTCATGAGGTCATTGGCAAACAAAACATGTCGGGTTGAATCTACTTATATGCTTGGTTTGTTTAAAATACCATCCATTAATCAATAGTCTGTGGGTCAAGCGGCTGATTCCATTGAGTTATTAATGATTTTTGTGGACTGAAACTGCCAAAACCAGACAATGAATATAGTTTATGGTGTAATTAGTAATATTTTAAAGTTTAGGGTATCAAAATGAGACAAAAACCATAATTTGGGGATGAAAGAGAAATTAACACAACTAACTAGAGTGAGTCACCAGTAAGAAAGCATTCAAAAGCGTGCCCTTTGTCAAGCTTCATTTGACCGTTTCTTCTGTTCCATTATTATTCAATTTATTTTTGCATGTTGGCCGTTAAAAGACTCCTTTTCTGCCGTCCTCATCACTACTCAGATTTCTAGCCGTTTGTGAAAAATCGTAACGGAGAAAAGCAGCTGGCCCGCAGAATCCTCTTCCCCAGGCTACAACGGCTAGTTTCAGTTTTCCCCACCTGAACCCCCCTCTATAAATACCAGTCTCCCACAACCATCACAACCACAATCATCCTCTCTCTCTCTCTCTCTCTCGAAACACCCTCTCCGTACTTTCTCTCTCTAGAAACACTCTCGTCTCTTTCTCTGTTTCCATGGCTGGCTTCTCAAGGCCATCCTCTTCTTCTCTTTTGCTCGCCTTTCTTCTTCTCGGCACCATCTTCTCCTCATCGGAAGCCAAAGAAATCTTGGTCGGAGGCAAGTCCGATTCATGGACAATCCCGTCTTCCCAATCCCAATCTCTCAACAAATGGGCTGAAAGTACCCGTTTCCGCATCGGCGATACACTTGGTAAATGAAAAAAAAAATGAATCTTTCGGTTCTTTCTTTAAAAAATGCTCTGTTTTTTATGTCACTGATTTTGAATGTTGTTCAAAAAAATGAATCTTTCGGTTCTTTCTTTAAAAAATGCTCTGTTTTTTATGTCACTGATTTTGAATGTTGTTCAAAAAAATGAATCTTTGGGTTCTTTCTTAAAAAAATGCTCTGTTTTTTATGTCACTGATTTTGAATGTTGTTTCAGTGTGGAAATACGACGGCGAGAAGGACTGGGTGGTTCAGGTGAGCAAAGAGGACTATTTGAGCTGCAACAGCTCGAGCCCGATTGAGGAATACAAGGACGGACAGACCAAGGTTAAGCTGAACAAAGCTGGGCCCTACTATTTCATAAGTGGGGCCAAGGGACACTGCGAGAAGGGACAGAAGCTCATCGTCGTTGTGCTCTCCCCGAGGCACCGGTACGCCATTTCTCCGGCGCCTTCTCCGGCGGAATTCGATGGCCCGGCGGTTGCTCCCACCAGCGGAGCTGAGGCTTTGAGGGGGGGTGGCTTGGTTGTGGGTTTGGGAGGATTTTTGTTGCTCTGGGGATTGTTTTGAATGTGAAGATTAGATTGTTTAGAGAAGAGATTTTATTTTGTTTTGTTTTGTTTAGTTTGGTTTGGTTTTGTTTCTTTTGGGTTGGGATGGTGATATTCATTCATTTGTTGTATGCGAGCTTTAGCAAGCATCATAAATTCTATTCGTTAATCCAATTCCTGGATTATAATTATATTTGGTTGTTACTTTTAATTTTTTCCCCATTCTGTTCATTTGTTTTTTTTTTTTCCCACTCATTTTATCGGCAATAACAATCAATTCACGATTGTGCTAATAAAAACAATGAATAAAAGGAGACCCGCTAATAATAAAACAATCACACATTCAATGCCTAATCAATACCACAAAACACACATATGTTGTGTACAAATAAAATATGAGAGTAGGCACTAATTTGGTCGCTTTCCAATAAAGAAACCTGCTTCTTCCAAATTCATCATCATCCCAAAACTTCCTGGTCGATCCGATCAAGCCACGTGAGCGTGAAGACAATCAACATTATTATTATGCCACTCTCTCATCATTCATCATTCATCACTCATCACTCATCTCATGACCAACATGTATCCTTAACCATATAGATATTAAGGCACATAATTTCTCTCTCTACTATGCTTTCATCTTACTTGCCGAACAAAGAGCACCACTAATCCAACCTTGCTCATCAACAAGCACATTACGAAGCCACTAATCATCATTACTTAACCACACAATTAAGGCACATAATTTCTCTCTCTACTGCCTCATTTAGTTGGCGAACAATGAGCGTCACTATTCCAACTTATTTTTGGATCCTCTTACCACCCCAAACCCCACCTTGATCATCAACAAGCACATTACGAAGCCACATTATTTCTTTATCTAGCAATTCTTCTGCATCCAACATCGCTAACTCATCATCATTCTGATCTTTGTTTTCAGATTCAGCTTCAATAACATCACTTGTACTTGACATATCTCCAGAGCCTTCTTTGTAAATCTCCAATATTTTGCCATCTAAACAAGAATCATGCTCATCAGGAGAGGCTGTAATACACCACTCAGGATATTCCTCAACCCCATGATCTCCAATAACATCATTTAGGCCCATTAGTTCTCTATCTAGCCATTTTTCTAGCTCCAAATTGTCTAAGACTATCGCTTCCTTTTCTCTGTCCTTGTGTTCTGATTCAAATTCAACAACATCACTTGTACTTGACACATTTCCAGATCCTTCTTCGTAAATCTCCAATATTTTGCCATCTAAGCAAGAATCATGCTCTTTAGGAGAGGATATAATACACCAGTCTGGATATTCTCTTTCTAGCCATTTTTCTAGCTCCGAATTCTCCAAGACTATCGCTTCCTTTTCTTTGTCCTTGGTTTCACCTGAAACAATAATATTTGAAATATTACTAGTAGTACTAGATTTCTCTGTATTTTTAGGCAACGGAAGAGGCCGTTTTGTAGTAGGATATGTGATGTTTTTGTTCTTTTTCATGGCTGCTCGGCTTGTTCGACCCCGGCGGCCTTTTCGAATACTGTTATTGCAATCACCCGGATTGTTGTTACTTGCAACATGCATGGTGGTCAACAAGGATTCTTTTCCCAGGTGAGAAAAGCAGTAAATTTTTCGTCTCAAATGAGAATTCCAATGATTCTTTATTTCATTGTCTGTTCGTCCCGGTAAGTTCTTGGCTATCAAGGACCACCTAAGCATACACAAGGTAGAATAAATGACAATGAAATTCGTTTCATCAATGAATTAATTATTAAGAAAAAAAAAGGATGCCTGCTGTGGAAGTAATCTATTCAACATTTAGCTGAAATGTGACTTTTTACCTTAATATTTTAAACAATAAAAGAATACAGGTACTTTCCAAATCATTTTAAAATCGACCATATTCGATACCAGAAGTACCGTAACATGCTTTTCAAACCATGACCATTTTTAGTAGCTTGTATTGTATTATATTATATAAGGTGTATTGTATTATATTATATTATCATAATATAATATGGTATTTGGTGTCATAATGTATTATACAAGGGGTTAAAATGTAAAAATTTTAAAATTTTGAGGTCAAAATGTAATTTTGTGAAAATTTTGGGGTCAAATTCAATTTTTCAAAAGGTTTGGGGTTAAATTGTAATTTTGTAAAAATTGAGGAGCTAAAATGTAATTTTAAAAAATATAAATTTGCATTATGTCTCCTCAATTTTTAAACAATTGTTAGGCTCTGACACGACTCTATGTCGGTCCGACCCCATCTTCCAGTCATGCCCAATCCCGACATGAATTATGGATTCGTTATAGAATAATACAATACAATATGCCAAAAATTAGCCGTATTCAATAATACGATACAAACCGTATTAGTTTATACAATACGATGGTCACACCAAACTAGGGGTGTTCAAAAAATGCACCAAATTGCGAAAACCACCAAATCCAAATCAAACCGAATCAAATAATTAATTATTTTTGGATTATTGGGCGGTTTGGTCGGTTTTTTAATCTAATTTTTTGAGCGGTTTGGTTTGTAGTTTTGACTCCTCAAACCGCCCAACAATCCTCGTAAAACATATATAATTTTATATTTTTTTAATTTTTAAAGTATTTTTATGTTTATTTTAGTTTTTATTGGTCATAGTAAAGGTTCTCAACTTATAAAATACACCCTATTATATTTTTGTTGGTTTGTATTAAAACTTTAAATGGTGAACTTTTATACATTTACTATTTTTGAGTTATATTGTAAACTTCAAACATATTTTTATTTTTATGGATTAATGATTTTATAATTTTTATGAATTATTAAAATCCATTTTAGTCTTAAGCTCAAACCACCCAAACTGCTTACGAGTGATTTAGTTCAATTTGATTTTTGTCAAAAATATCAAATCCCCAAACCGCCTAAAATAAAAAATTATTTTTGGCTTGATTGGTGGTTTCTACAAAAAAAAAGGGGTCCAAACCGACCATGAAGACCCTTACACCAAACATTGTATGTACTATTATACAATATGGTGTTCTAATACGGTCAAACAAACATGTCTTAAATGAACGAATTTGCTCCCAAAGAAAACGTAAAACTCTTCATTTTTTTTCTTTTCCTTGAAGCTCAAAAGTAGTTGCTACTTGTCTTGTCTTGTTGGAAATTTTGAATTGTGGGTCAGGGGAGAGAAATTTACAATTAGAGAAGGAATAGTTGTTTGGAACATGATGATTTTAAATTTTATTTGTGTTTTATATAGAGATAAGAAAAATCTTAAGTTCGATATCTGTATAGTCTAATAAATGTAATTTTTTAGTATTTTTGTATAAGTTCATACTTGTGTATAACATTCAGTTTGTTTAAGTATAATTACTACAAAAAATTGACATTTAACGTCTCTAATTAGACGACGGTGTTATAAGAACGTCGTCTAATGTGCTGGCCCAAAACGCGGGCCAATTGGTAAAAAATTAGATGACGGTTTCTTATAAAATTGTCATCTAATATAAAACATTAGATGACGATTTTACTTAACACTGTCGTCTAATGTGAATGCAAAAACCTAAAAATGAAATTTAAGCTCGAATTTGTCTTCATTTCGAGAGAAATCTAACTCAAAACCTTTCACTTATCTCTCTCTCTCTCCCTTCCTGTTAACCATATTGCCGCCACCCAACGCCCAAAAAACTCTCTCTCTCTCTCTCCGTCTCTCTCAACACCGCCATCGCCATTCTCTCTCTCCGTCTCTCTCTATCGTACGCTCCAAGCAACCCTGGTGTTCGCCAAATTGAAAAGCTTTGTCGCCAGCCGCCTCTGCCGTCGCCAAACCGCCGCCAGCTTCAACCTACAGTCGACAGTTTGTTTTGGTCAGTTTTGTTTTTGGTTAGTTTAAGTTATAATATTTTTTGGATTTGAAATTTATAACAATGCCTTCTATAGATTAGATGGCGGTTATTTTCAATTAGGTTAGACTATTAAACGACGGTTTTTAAAAAATATGATTATTTAGATTAGAACAAATTAATTGCGTTTCTAATATTATTTGAATATTTGAATGTAAATGTGAATATTTATTATATAAGATTTAAGAAGTTTTAAGTTAGTTATGTTAGAATTAAGAATGAAACTAAATCTAAATTTAAGTTATTTAGTATAATTTTTGTATATATTGATAAGGTTAGGTTAATTCAATGTTGAATAGGTTAGTTTTAAGTTATTTATTTTAGGATTAAGAATGAGACTAAATATATATATGTTGATTCTTAGAAACATGGCGGGCCGTGATTGGCTCAAGGAAGAACTTAATACCACACGAGAGTTATTTGGGGAGGAAGGCACTTCCGATGGAGAAATCAATATGAACTTAGGAAAAGAATAAAATTTGACCCGAAGGAATATGATGACGGGAAACGAAGGGCAACCATAATGCGTAGAGTTGCCAAAATGAGAGATAATGGAACAAGAATTGAAGTGCAATTTGATGAAAAAACAACCCAATTAGAAAAGCGGGGAATGAGCTACAAAGTTATGTCGGTGTTTTGACACGTGAACATGTGCCAATAACAATAAAAGATTGGAGACATAAAGAAAATAAAGATTACGTGAATCAAATTTGGCATGATTTGGTTCAAAGTTTCACGATTCTAGAGACAACAAAAAATCACGAGCTTACTTGTGCGGCGAAGATGGTTCGAGACTTTAGGTCGAAACTATGCACAACCTTTATAAAGCCGTTAAAGGATAGTCGCAAGTTTTTGAACTCTCAAAGAAAGTGGCTAGAAACTACCTTTCAATTACCCCGGAGCAATGGAGGAAGTTTGTGGAGTATAGACTTAGTGGCAATCAACAGGCGGTTTCTGAAGAAGCCTTTAAGAGAAGAGGATCGTACAAGTACCCACATGGAAATGTTCATGGGGGATATAGAAAAGTAAATGAAGGTTATGTAAGTCTTCAATTATCTTTTTTCAATGATATTAATTACTTCTTGTTTGTATTACAATCTTTAATATACTTTTTAATTAAATAAAGATGTGAATGCATAACACTATGGAAAAGTCAGATTGAGCTATTTTATGGCAGTTCATACACAAAAAACGAGACGAAACTTACAAAATTTTAGAATGCAAAGAGATTGGAAAATTAATTTTGAGTTATTGTTTTTCTTTTTAATATTTGTTTGATCAATGAGAACTATGCCAAGAAATTTATAATGTTTTTGTTCTAAATTTTGTAGGACCAATATGCCGAAGAAAAGTCTTAGGAACAGTTTCAATCTCAGGGGACTGATGATGTGCTTACTAGATCATTGGGAAACCCAGAACACTCTGACCGTGTTCGTGGCCAATCCCAATTTATCAAAAAGTCAACTTATTTTCATTTCACTGGCAAATCAAGAAGGGATGAGGAGTTAGTAGTACTGCGTAAAAAGTTTGAAAAAATGGAGGCCCGATGGGAAGCAATGTAATCATCCCAAGGCCATACCACAACACCTGTAGGAGAAGGAATGAGAACTTTTACGGTGGATCAGCGACGTAGTGTTAAGGAAAGTCGTATTGTCCATAATGCTACGCTACCGGCAGAGCCCCCTCATCAGGCCTTGGTGATGGTAGTAAGTGCATTCTTTTGACTCTAACAGAGGGGAAGAATAATTTCATCATTGTTGCGACGTGAATGGCATGGATGAATAGTCACCCCACTGATGTTGTCCACGGTGTCGCACTTGGGGAAGGAAATGTAAGCGTCTCTATTCAATCGACTTATGTGAAAGATGCGCCTCTGCCTATCCCTACATTTGATAGCGCGACTGTAGGTGCCGCTCTCGGTGGATTTGTTTTCTGGCTTAGTAATTTGGTTGAACTAGGGTTGTTGAGTAAAGTTAGGAAAGCTTTGACCGAAAAAGAACCGGTGGAGAACTCCCCGGAGTCGGCGAAGAAAAAAGTTAGGAAACAAAAAAGGTTGAAAAATACACAAGGACCCGCCGATGATGAGGAAGTAACTCAACTGCTACTAGAATAGTTGTAAGGGTTGCCCACAGAAATGTAAGACTTAATGATTCATGTGCGACAAACGATGGCTGACGGTGGAATAATTCAGATTCCCTTTCCATTCGATATGACTTAGGTGCAGAATATGCAATTTTTCATTACAACTGATGATATCGAATGGATGGCCACCTATCAAGAACTTAGTATTGTGTGTATCATGGCTTACATGTGGTAATATAACTTTCCTTATTATTTTTTCACAATAAATTGTGATTTATTATTAAACGCATAACTAAATCCTTCTTTTTTCATGTAGTCACTTGTGACATTTGTGTAATCAGGAGAATGTCCTAGGATGTTCGGGTTTCAAGTCCCCGATGCTCACGTCCTACATTTTAGGCTAAGCAGAGTTGGATATAGAACGGGGGGCAAACGCTATTTGTACATTTTTATTACAATCAGATGCCTGACGCACTTTTTTCGTGCCATACAATGGAGGAGGATGTTAGATGTTGGCCGTGATATCTCCCACACAAGATAAAGTCGAGAGGTTGGATCCCCTCGCAGTGAAAGTATGTGTAGACTTAAGAAGAATGATTGCCTTGTAAATTTAGCATTCTTTATAACTTCCGAACTACTAATTTATATTATTTTTTTTACTAATTAATTGATTTTTCATCATTTATTAGTGCGTTATGTGGTTGGAAGGCGCAAACAAGGCTTGAGTTTGAACGCCATGCGGATAGCTTCACAAAATTTCTCATACCAAAAGTAAATGTTCATAATTTCGTTCATTAAATTACTCGAACTTAAGAAATACCATTTTTCATGTACTAAAATTTTTAATTCATTATCAGAAAATTCCAACACAAGAGGGGCACAAAGAATGCGGGTTTTCGTCTTACGGTATATGCACAATATTATAAGAGTCAGTGTTAATGATCTAACAAAACATAGAGGCATATACTAATGAGCATTTGGTAGAAGTTATAAATGAATGAGCATATTTTGTAAAGGGACATATATTGTAAAGGTACATACAACATATTGTAAAAGGACATATAATTTAATTTATGTTTACATTTTGATTTGAATATATAAAATATTAATTTGTTTATGTTCTGTGACTTGTGTTAATTGTATGGCCCAAATATTGATAAATCATGGGATTAATAAGCCAACCCGTGAGACAAGTAATAAAATAGCACCAATAGTTTTTGGTGCATAAGGCAGATATAACGACGGTTTTTAACTAAAATCGTCGTTATATATTTGTTTTTAACGACGGTTTCTTCAGAAATCGTCGTTTAATATGCTCCCTAACCGTCAAATTTGACATTTTGGGAATATCTTAGACGACGGTTTTGTTTATAAACCGTCATCTAATGTCTTATTTAACGACGGACAAAAACCATCGTTAAATCGTACAGTGGTTAAATCGTACAGTAATTTAACGACTCTCGATTAGACGGTGATTCTCATAACCATCATCTAATCTTTTAACGACAGTTATTAACAGTCGTTAAATTCTAGATTTATACTAGTGAATACTCAATGTTACGCATGAGAGTAATTTTTCTATCTTGAAACTATCATGTCAATACTTTTTTGAATTGAGGACTTTTTCTTTTTCAATTGAGAAGCAACTATGTTAGTGCAGTCAAGCTGACCGAAAAATGAACAAGGTAAATTTTAAATAACTTAATAAACATAATAAGTGAACCTTTTTTTGTTTAAAAAAAATACAATTTTAATAGATTTAATTATTAAAATTTGACCCTATAAGTAGGATGGTCTTTCGGAAAAAGTCAAGGAAACATAAATGCATGTTGGAAACTTGTGAAACCAACATTAGATTGTTTTAATAAAAAAGAAAAATAAAAGAAATATTAATAGTATAAATTCGAATTAAAAGAATATTCTTTAGATCACATCAAAACAAGAGAAAAATATAGATCTATTTGAAATTGATAAATATCTAATGGTTTAGAAGTACTAGATATTATTAATAATTTGTTTCATATATACTTCCCACAAAATATTTCATGATGTAAACTTTTTAAAAGAAAAATGCTAAAAAATTGTTGAAAATGATTTATTAGTACTTGAAGAGCAATGACACACAAGTTAAATATTAGTTTTACAATATATATATATATATATATCATGAAATAAATTTTTCACATGATGTGTATTATTCTTATTATTATTATTATTATTTTTACTTTAATAGCCTTGCTCATAATTATGTGACAATTAATGAGTTGAAAAATAAAACGATAATATTACATTTAGTTGGGACGTGCTAATCAAATAGTAATTTTTCTTATATATACAGTGCTGGATGTCATTTCTCATTTTCCCATGCCGATGATGTAATTTTTAATGAACACATTTTTATGCAGAATATATATATATATATATATATATATACATTTATGAATAACGCAGAAGATAATTTATAGTATAAGTAGTTCGGAAGTCACTTTCAAAAAAAAGAAAGAAAAGAAAAGTTGAGAAATTGTTACTTGCATACCTATTTCCCAAGGCATTTCGTAACTTAATTATGGTCTCCTCCTCCTCCAGGGTGATGTTCCCCTTCTTCAAGTCGGTCTTCAGATAATTTACCCATCTCAGTCTACAACTCTTCCCACATCTAAGCAGTCCTTTAATTCATGACACACAATATCAATATATATATGTATATATATTACTATTGCGCTATATATATATATATATGTATATATATAGCTAGCTAGTATATTACCATTTAAGTGCAATATATGAAAACCAACATGAGAAAATAATTAAAAAAGGACCGTACGTGAGTGAGTTTTACTAGCTAGCATGCTTATACTACCTGCTTTCTTGGGTAAAGATCTCCAAGAGCCTTCGCCGTGTGCATGAATGTAGTTTGTCAATATTTCATCTTCTTCAGTCGTCCACTTTCCTCTCTTTAATCCTACTTTCTCACAGCATGGTGCTCTTCCCATTTTCTCTTTGTGGACACGCAAAAGAAACAAACCCTTATAAGCTTTCATTGCACATATATAGCAATGTTAATATATATATATATATATATATATATATACTTGTAGGCATGTATACCATATATATTTCGCAGATGGAAGACTGCTGGAGTGACACATGTGCGTCTCTTTTGTGATGACGCCACTCGTATTAACTAAGGGTGGTTAAAGCTACCACGTTACCTTAAATCATGCACCACTGGTATATTGTATAGGGGTGGGACGCAAATATCACGGTAAGCTGTTCAATTTTGATGTCTAGAGTTTAACAAATTATTTTATGATTTATTTACAAATTTCAAAATATATTTTTCATTCTTGAGTTCATTAAATAAAATGACATAGTATCATTAATTAGATATCATTTGAAATATTAAAATTAAACGAGTGGTATGGATCCGAACTAGCGAAATATTAATGGTTTATTTGGAAAATATATTCAAATCTTGATTTTTAATTTTACCATTTAAAATTTAAATTATTTGTAAGAAGAAAACACTATAGTATAATTAATTATTTAAATTTGTGTATATTAAATAAACGGACCCTCAAAAAAGAAACAGTCCCATTGTAGGCAGAAAACACCAAAAGTGGAATGCTTTTGGGTGCCTTTGGAATTGTTTTTTCAGTTGTTTTCGAAAACGTTTCTTCAATTCTTTTGAGGCTCGAAAACGAAAACGGTCTATAAATCGCGTTTGTTTAGTAAAAGTTTTGAAAACGGAAACGAAAATAAAAAACAATATGAGAATAGTTTTTGTGAAGAAAGTAAAAAAAAAATTGAAAGTTGTTTTTCTGTTTTCGTTTTCATTTCTAGTACTTATCAACAATGTTATATTAAATAAATAATTAATTACCAATTATATTATATATTAATTAATAATTAATAAATAGATATACTTAATAACTAATATAATTACTTAATAATTAATTAAATATTAATTTATTACTATTAAGTTTTTAATTTTATTAATAAAATAATAAATAATATGGTAATTAATTATTTAGTTAAAGATTAATTGTCAAAAATTAATTATATAACATATTAA